AGCTAGTACATACAATGCCTAAAGCCACTATTACGCAAAGCGTTTCGGGCATGATAAACTTAAATGACAAGCTTAATACTAATTGAGCATAATGAGTAGAATGAAAACAAGAAATGAAAACATAGCTGAAAAAGCAGCACAAATACAATTATGTCGACAAACAGCGCTCTTTAAGAAAAAACAGACATTGGTTGACAATAGAAGGGTAAGGTAGGTTACAGGGAATTTATTAGGTATAGCTTCGGTTTTATCTTAAACTGGTTGAGAGAGGTACAGTCTTTAATGTCCAGTGGAAAGAATCCTGCCTGAATCATGATGCCAGATGTCCACTGTAGAGAGTCCTGGCCTGAATAAGGATGTTGGATGTCCACTGGAGAAAGTCTTGCCTGAATCATGATGCTAGATGTCCACTATGAGGAATTTGCCCTAATTATTTTAATCATATTGGATATCTCAGGATGATGGACATCCTACATTATAATGAGGATGTAAAATACCCGCGGAGGAATCCGGCGGCTGTAACAAGTAAATAGGAGTCCCACTGAGGCACAACATACCAGAATTATATCAAAGGAAAGCAGATATCCATAGATGCGATGCCTTCTACAATATTCAGAGTGCAGGATATCAACAGCTCTCAGATATGCTTTCATTGTCGTCAGGATCAAGGATATCCAAAAGAATGCTCATAAACAAGGAATAATTGAGTGAATAACTCTTGTTTTATTAAATATATATATATATAGCGGTTCAGTATGATGCATCACTCAGCTAGCCGGTCATTTTTTGGCAAAAAACTTTTGTTTTCTTTTGATTTTTAATTACCTTATTTCCTATAGAAACAGAAAATAGTCAATAATTAAATCAAATAATAAAAACTGACCAAAAGATAGAAACAAGCATGATGCCTCGGAACATGACGGCCACACAGCTCAGCGGTCAGTTAAATCAGTAAATAATTGTCAAAAGATGGCGCAAAGCGGAGCTGCCACGGAAAAATCGCCACCTCGGCGAAATCGTCATTTTTCGCAAAACTCAAAATCAAAACCAGCCATAGAATCGTTTTCAAAATGCTACCATTAGAATTACCGCACCTCTGGACGTTTCTTTCTGTTAACTCTTTCTTTGCTAATTTGCAAAATTAAGCCTTTTACACATATATTTACCGAGATACAGCCAGTTCAAGTATCAAACATATCATCATGTTTTCTCAACATATTATTAAGCAAAATGAGTTGATGAGCAAGTAATAATAATTATAATGAGCCTAATTATAAATGGATATTAAAAAATTATGAATTTCTTTCTTTGTCATTTATGTAGATACTTTTTTTATATCTTCAAGCCTATAACAGCCTACAATCACTGTGTAGAAAATTTCTCTGTCTACAATGTCATCAGGATGTTGGATATCCACTAGAGTGAGTCCTGCCTGAATCAGGATGTTGGATATCCACTGGAGGGAGTCCTGCCTGAACCAGGATGTTGGATATCCACTGGAGAGTCCTGGCCTGAATCAGGATGTTGGATGTCCACTGGAGAGAGTCCTGCCTGGATCATGATGCTAGATGTCCACTATGAGGAATTTGCCCTCATTATTTTAATCATATTGGATATCTCAGGATGATGGACATCCTACATTATAATCAGGATGTAGAATACCCACGAAGGAATCCGGCGACTGTAACGAGTAAATAGGAGTCCCACTGAGGCACAACATACCATAATTATATCAAAGGAAAGCAGATATCCATAGATGCGATGCCTTCTACAATATTCAGAGTGCAGGATATCAACAGCTCTCAGATATGATTTCATTGTCGTCAGGATCAAGGATATCCAAAAGAATAATTGAGTCTCCCTCTAGTGGATATATAACATCCTAATTCAGGCAGGACTCTCTCCAGTGGACATCCAACATCCTGTTTCAGGCAGGGCTCTCTCCAGTGGACGTCCAACATCCTGATTCAGGCAGGACTCTCTCCAGTGGATATGGAATATCCTGATTCAACCAGGACTTTCCCCAGTGGATATCCAACATCCTGGTTCAGGCAGGACTTACTCTAGTGGATATCCAACATCCTGATGACATTGTAGACAGAGAAATTTTCTACACAGTGATTGTAGGCTGTTTTAGGCTTGAAGATATAAAAAAAAGTGTCTACACATATGACGAAGAAAGAAATTCATAATTTTTTAATATCCATTTATTATTAGGCTCATTATAATTATTATTACTTGGTCATCAACTCATTTTTCTTAATAATATGTTGAGAAAACATGATGATATGTTTGATATTTGAATTGGCTGTATCTCGGTAAATATATGTGTAAAAGGCTTAATTTTGAAAATTAGCAAAGAAAGAGTTAACTGAAAGAAACGTCCAGAGGTGCGGTAATTCTAATGGTAGCATTTTGAAAACGATTCTATGGCTGGTTTTGATTTTGAGTTTTGCGAAAAATGACGATTTCGCTGAGGTGGCGATTTTTCCGCGGCAGCTCCGCTTTGCGCCATCTTGACGGCCACACAGCTCAGCGGTCAGTTAAATCAGTAAATAATTGTCAAAAGATGGCGCAAAGCGGAGCTGCCACGGAAAAATCGCCACCTCGGCGAAATCGTCATTTTTCGCAAAACTCAAAATCAAAACCAGCCATAGAATCGTTTTCAAAATGCTACCATTAGAATTACCGCACCTCTGGACGTTTCTTTCTGTTAACTCTTTCTTTGCTAATTTTCAAAATTAAGCCTTTTACACATATATTTACCGAGATACAGCCAGTTCAAGTATCAAACATATCATCATGTTTTCTCAACATATTATTAAGCAAAATGAGTTGATGAGCAAGTAATAATAATTATAATGAGCCTAATTATAAATGGATATTAAAAAATTATGAATTTCTTTCTTTGTCATTTATGTAGATACTTTTTTTATATCTTCAAGCCTATAACAGCCTACAATCACTGTGTAGAAAATTTCTCTGTCTACAATGTCATCAGGATGTTGGATATCCACTAGAGTGAGTCCTGCCTAAACCAGGATGTTTAATATCCTCTGGAGAGTCCTGCCTGAACCAGGATGTTCAATATCCACTGAAGAAAGTCCTGACAAAATCAGGACTGGAGAGTCATCCCTGAATCAGGATGTTGGATGTCCACTGGAGAGAGTCCTGCCAGAATCAGGATGTTGGATAACCTCTGGAGAGTCATGGTTGAATCAGGATGTTGGATATCCACTGGGGAGAGTCCTGGTTGAATCAGGATGTTGTATATCCACTGCAGAGAGTCCTGCCTCAATCAGGATGTTGAATCTCCACTGGAGGGAGTCCGGCCAGAATCTGGATGTTTAACACTTTTGCACTTGTGGCACTCAAAAGAAAAATAATACCCTAGATCCTTCAGCGCTCCGCGCGCCTACGTGGTAAGACCGAAAAAGTGTACACTCTTTTTACTGTCCTGACAATAATTGAAGGCGCACGTATTTAAATTTGGTATCACTGTGTTCGCAATGAAATTGTCTATAAGAGCATACCTATAAAATGCCGCCCAAGCATAAGGAC